AACCGGTGATCGGCTAGTAATCATCAACTATGTCATTGCTGCACTGTTGAATGGAGTGATTTTTGCCCAGTTCTTCATGTACTGGAAGAGCACTGAGAAAAAGAAATTGGCGTAACTCTTTCACCGGTTGCCATTCTCTGAACATTTTTGCTTTTCCAAGCATTTCCGCACAGGGCAGATAATCTTTATGACGAAATGTCATGGCGGTTATTTGGCTTGTGTGGAATTGCTCTTAAGTTGCCCACGTTTTTAAGCCTGCCTCGAAGTAGTATTTGGGAAATGGATTGGAAGGGCGGTCTGAAGATAGATGGTGAGGAGCTGAATCATTTGCGCATCACGGATGACATAGTTCTTATTGCCAACAACCCCGCAAAATAAAGTGGGTGCTACAGGAGCTCAACGCACACTGAGGAAGTGGGCTTGAAGATCAACACATCGAAAATGAAGGTAATGCAAACTGTAGTATGCCCATGGCATGATTACGAAGAGACTGTATGAATATGGAAGAATTTGAGAGTTACGTCCATTTCGGATAAGTAAATATGTGACACAATCTCTATCTGAAGATTGCACGTCGATGGGCTGCCACAAATTCTAATCGTGGCACAAATTCTAATCATCAATGCCCTCAAAGCGTCGTACTGATAGGACCTGCCACATCTTCAACACCGATATACTGAAGGCAGTGACATACGGATGCGAAACATGGTCACTGCCTAGAGTTGAAGAGGGGCGCTGGTTGTTACGGAAAGAGCGGTGGAGAGAAGAGCGCATGATGTATCTCTGCGCGACCATACAAACAGTCAGACTTTCCGTCAGATGAGCAGCATGCAGGATATAATTACAACTATGTGAGAAAGCAAAATGCGATGGGCAGGACGTGCTGCCTACCTCGGTGACGACCGGTGGACGACGTGCATTAGTGATTGGGTTTCCGAGAAAGCAAACGACCATTCGGGCAACACACAAAGAGTAGTGCACATACATAGAACAGGTGTGGATACTATGGAAGGCCTGGCACAGTTATGCTCGGTATGTGGGAGCATCCTTGTAACTTCATGACAGGGGAATCCCACACTAATGTTCCGGACGGTCTTGGTATTCCTGGTGTCTGTGCCTATGTCTTGGATGAACCTATTTAGGGATCGTGATTTATGTGAATATACTAGTTTAAAATTAAAGCATACTTGTGACCCTTGACCTTAGATGCAAAGTGGGGTCGATATTGCAAAATGGAGTCGACTTTCAGATAATTCTAAATGTTAACGGCTCATCACATAACAGGGTTCTAAATGATTTGAAACCAGAAGCTTCTCAGTCGCACCATAATCCAACCTGTGGCCCCAGTTCAGGTCTCAGAAGTTGGACCCACAAAATTTGTGCTTGATGGTTCTTAACTGATAGCTGGTAAACTGGTAAACTCATCGACGTACTTTGGCCTGTGCTCATATTGTTAGAGTTAATCTCTAGAGTTTGAAATTTCGATAACTGCTATCACTAGATAATCCAAAAATCATTTTGGTACGGTACAGTTACAATGCATCTGTCTTTTCTACGTACTTGCGCAGCCACCCGTTGCTCGGCCTTTAGCAACGAATAGTAAAAACACATTACTTCTATGGTTACTTTGTTATTACTTTTGGTTGCTTTTTGTAAGTACTATGGTCTGGAAAGATTCGCTCGACACATGTACATATCATCTCTTTTCTTATATTCTGTTGCTTCTAAACAACCACTTTACGCTTTTGTACACAAGTATCGGGTTCTTTGTCTCGGTGAAAACTTGGGTCGCAGGCAAAAGTTCACTAGCCATTATCCATCATGTAGTTTCTTTACTTAGCATCATAAACCCATATATCTTCAAACAGTCCTTTTCTCTCTCCCCCAATTCCTACTTTTAAGCAGGGTCCCAGTTCCTCTCCAGTCGCCACCCCATTCCTCTCCTCTCTCTTACGACTACTCACGATTTAAACCAGCTGCTTTGGTTTTTCCCATCTTCTTCGTACCGCAACCCCTACCCTTTTTCTTTCGCAGGGAGGACACACTACAGTCACTTCCCATCGCCTTCCTCACCCCTCCCTCCCTTTTGTTACGAGCAGAAGGGAGGGATTTCCAGGCCGAGCTTTGCATTTTATAAGAGACAGGAAATGAAAAAGGCTATGGAAAACTGTCTAGAGCAATAATGTATATGATTTGAAATAATGAAAAATGAACATGTCTCGTAGTTTGGCGGGTTTTTCCTGTCATCAAGATATGCCTCCGCAGTGAATCGGAAAGTACTACTCGTTGTGGTGTTTATTTCATGCTGTTGTTCAGCTTGTTAAAAATAAAGTGCTTTTGGAAACAAGTTCTTTGCCGTAATGATATTAATCATCGAAGATATCGGAATCCATGGATTTCTTTACTTCCAACTTTCAGCATCATCTCTGCAAGGGCCCAGCTACAAGCTTGTTTAAGGTTACACGATTGTTTGCCGGAATTAAAGTGTTTCGCAATGATGATGAGTTGATATGGCTAGTGGCAATAAAATAATAATATCGAAGTTTTTATGCGTTTTTTGCAGCTATGCAATGCAAAAAACGCATATTGACGAGAGGTTGTCTGT